AACAGAAATTGCTTTGGTTTGGGACCAGCAGTTGGCATAATGGCTATGTCACTAGACTCCCATGTAGTCGACTGTGGTTCGAGTCCCAGACCCGGTGGCTTAAACTCATACTGGGTGCATGTGTGTGTGTGCCCAAGATCCCAAAAGGAGAATGGAGGAGAAGGGATTGTGGCGTGGCAACCCCCCCTCAGGGGGTGATTTCTCACTTTCTGTCTTTATGGCAAGTGCATGTGCCCTATAGCAAAAACCTCTCCAAAAAAAAAAAGAAATTGTTTTGGTTTTAGGGACTGGTCCATGACCTCGTGGTTAAGAGAGCCATATCTCAAATGGTCAACTGAGGTTTGAGTCCTGGCCCTAGTGGCTGGCAGAATGCACTGGACATGTGTGTGTGTGTGTGTGTGTGTGCAAGCCCTAAATGCCAACAGGATAGAGAAATGGAGGAGAAAGGATTGTGGTGTGGCCATACCCATTGGTGGCTGCCTTATCTCCCTCTCTCTCTATCTCTAAGGTGAGCACATGTGCATACTGTCAATTGTAAAACAAAATACCTTTACACTAATTTTTTTCCATTTTGTTTGTACATGGGTAAGATGAATATGCGGATCTTTACTAGCCTTATAAAGAAGAAAAACAAAGGATCAGTATATTGTAGACCATGCATGTTTGTTTCATTTTGTTGGCAAGATTTTGTAAAATAGGAAAGAGAATAAAGTGATCGGACTTTGCATTTAATCTTTTTTCTTTCTTAAAAAAACATTTGCCATAGAGCACAGGTGCTTGCTGCTGGAGGGAAGGAGAGAGGGAGGGAGGGAGAGAGAGAAAGTAAGAAACACCTCCCCAACCCCCTAGATCAGCAGGTGGCATGGTGGTTAAGGGCGCCACACTCCACATGACCGACCATGGCTCGAATCGCGAACCTGGTGTCTTCCTTTCTCACTTTCTCTCTCTCTCTCTCTCTCTACCTCTCTCTGTCTCTCTCTGTCTCTCTCGTCAAATTGGAAAATAATAATGGATAAAGTTAAAATAAAATAATTCTTGGGCCAGCAGCTGGTGAGGTGGTTAAAGGTGCTGGATTCCCTTGTGGCCTACTGCGATTTGAGTCCTGTACCTGGTGGCTTGCTTTCTCACTTTCCCCTTCTCTCTCTTGTCAAATTAAAAATAATAATAATAATGAATGGAATTAAATAAATAATTCTTTAATAAAATAGTTAAATCTTTAAAAAAAGAAGTGGACCAGCAGGTG